TTCCCAGATCAACCGATTTGCCTCGAGGTCGACTGATCCATCTGGGATCAGATCAGGGGCCAAAAGATGCTGCCCACTACCACAAGCTGCATCCCACCCCCCACCCCCCGTTTTCCTCTTCCACAGTTCGCGCCAGGAAAACATCTACCTGTGAGACAGGTCTTCCATCTTCCGTGGCACCTGCTGAGAAAATCAGATTGAGGTGGTGCTATCTGAGCTGCCTTGCTTTCTGGCAGACGTTTCATTACCCAACTAGATAACATCATCAGTGCCGGAGTAAGTAAGGAATGAGGTTTGCTTTGTTAGTGTTGATGGAGATGGCCTTAGTGGTTCTTTAATTTGGGCTGTTTACTGACGGCTCTTTGGCAGTTTCTTGACTGGGATATTGTTTACTTGATTGTAGGTCTGATGTTAGGTCTTGCAGTTACGCCGATCGTGGTGCTGATTGCTGGGGTCTTTTTGTTCTCTTTTGGGCTGGTTGCATAATCTACAGGTGTTGTTAATGTCTGTGGGTCTAACGATAGCGAATGTTCCTTCCTTCTCCTATTTCCCCCCACGACAACAACCCTGTGAGGTGGCGGAAGCTTCATCTCCTTCTCCCCATTTCCTTCACACATGCAGATGCAACAGTCCTCTTGCTGATCTCTTTCCTGGCTATTTTACCTTCCGGCGTGCATTTCCCACGATGCCCTCTCTTCCTCCTCCTCTTCCAGACCCACCCAGCTTTCTCTCTCTCTTTCTGCCTACAGGCATGGGACTGCATCCCCCAGCATTCCCAGCCCGACAAGGTGGCACCAGCAGGCATTTGAGGGACACAGAATTAGCCTGCCCCCTTCTCTTCGTGCATTCCCCCCCCCAAAGTTGGAGCGCTTCCAAAACACTTGAGAAGCAAAACGTGACCCCTAAATCTGGGCACACCCTTCCTGGCAGGAAATGTTACAGGTAGTCCTCAACTTTATGACTACGATTGAGTCCGAAATTTTATGTTGCCAAATGAGAAATTTGTTAAGAATTTTGGTTGTGGTTCGTCGGCAGCCTGTGCAGACGGCAGCGGAATCGGAAGGTGGGGAAGAACGGGGACCAGTCTGGGAGTCTGGAGAGGACTCAGATGAGGGTCCTGCGTCCGATGCAGAGATGGGGCCAGGACTATCTGGGAATTATGTGCTGACTCCAGAGCCTCCAGAGTCTGGCAGCAGCAAGGCAGAGGAACAAAGGGAGCCTGTTCCCAGTGCGCGTGTGCACAGAGCTGCTAGAAGGTGAGAGCAGCTGAGACAAAAGGGGCGACTCGGGAGTGAGGCTGGGAGGTGATTGCCCTTCCCATCAGGTATAAAGGAGGTGCAAAGGTAGAGAAACCTTTGCAGGAAGCAAAGTCGTTCCCTCTGTTTGGATTAATCCTTGAAACTCTGTGTGGACTTTGTACTTCGGTTGGTTTTTTTAACAGTTAATTTGGCACTTAGTTGTTGGCAGCAATCCAAAGGAGAGAAAGGTGGGTGCTTATCTCGGGGGACTATTTACGGGCTGGGAATGCACATAATTCCCTGCGTTGAAATAAAACAAGAGTTGTTTGGACTAAGTGTGTGTACAGTCTCAGGAAACCTTGGTCAGATTGCCCCGATTTACGACTTTTCTTGCCATGGTTGTTCAGTGAATCACTGCGGTTGTTAAGTTAGTCACACGATTGTTAAAGTGAATCTAGCTTCCCTGTTGCACATCAGAAGGTTGCAAAATGAGATTGCATGACCCCCAGGAGACTGCAACCGTCATAAATATGAGTCAGTTATTAAGCATCCAAGTATAAATCAGGTGACCATGGGGACACTGCCCCAGTTGTAAGTGGACATCAGTCACTTTTATTCAGTGCCGTTGAAACTTCGACCAGTTACTAAGCCAACTGTCATAAATCAAGGACTACCTGTATTTTCCAGGGACCTTTCCCCAAAAATAAATAAATCCTAATTTTTCCCAGCCTTGCGAATCCAAGACATCCTGTTTCTCTTTGGAGCACGTCTTCATTTTGCTTTCGCTTCTTAGCCCGGGGGGAGGTCACGTCTATGAGAACGGCGGTGCTAAAAATGCAGTGTAACATATTTATTTTATTTTATTTTATTTATTTATTTGATTTGTCAATCACTTACAAAATAATAGGTATAAGTATAAACATGAATAGGAATACAGGAAACAGGTACGAATCAATGGGGACAAAAGGACAGGGACAGTAGGCACGATGGTGCACTTATGCACGCCCCTTACAGACCTCTTGGGAGTGGATATTCTCCTTCCTTCCTTCCTTCCTTCCTTCCTTCCTTCCTTCCTTCCTTCCTTCCTTCCTTCCTTCCTTC